TATATAAAATACCAATTTTACAAAAGTTTAATATTATTGCAACATTTGATTTGAATATATTATCTGAATTATAACTTTTTAATCGCTGAAAATTGATCTTAGAAATTATATATTATATATTCTAATTACAAATTATAGTACTAATAGTACATACATAAAAATCAATTTACCAAAACTTACCGCAAAATTGCATAAAATTATGCAAAATTATTGAAATTTTATATCTTTATTTGCAATAATATACTGCATATTATAATTGGTTAGTTTTTGAAGATCAACAAATATTTTATAAATATAATAATCATTAGGTTGTTTATCCTCTCTATGCATTGCTAAGATAGTTCAATATAGTATTCAGGAGTTCCAGAAACAAATTCTGACTGTAATCCAAGATTAATCTCAATTGCAAGTTTGTTATTAGAATCACATCCATCAAAGGCCTTTGGTTGATATCTTAGCTATCATAACACCAAAGCTATAAATATCAACTGTTTGTGTAAATTTATATAACTTCCGGAGAAACATAGGACATGATACCGTAAATATCGTCTTCTGAAACACTTTCATTTCTTTCTAGGTAATCCTAGATCTGCAATATAATATTGGTCAGCTTTGCATAATCGTGAATATCAGATAATCTATATGAAATATCTTTAAGCATTTTCAGTTTAACCTTCCAAGTAAGTCTTTAAATTTTTCTTAAAATTTCTAAAGGCTTCTGTTAATAACATACTGAAACTCCATCAATTATTCATTTGTTTTTGTATCTTAAGTAATTCTATATATTGTGAGTTTGCTATGCATGTTATGTGATTGATAAATTCTTTCAAAAAATTAAAACTATTTTCTTTAGAATTGGTCAGGGTCTTGAGTGCAACTGTATTAGATTTTTCATGCACTCTTGCATAATTATTTTTGCCATTAATTTTTCTGAATATACAGAAACAAATTCTCCTTTGCAAATTTCTGTAATATTAGATAATCTATTCACTCAATTACATACTCATATTTAAAAGTTCTAAGTTAAAATTCTCTGTAAATTGGAACTATAGTAGATTTAGAATCCACCTTTAAAATTTTACAAGATCTTTATAAATGCATTTACTATTTGTGATCTTAGTAGTTGCTATCTATGAATAACCAGATCACTCAGGTTATTTGACGTGATCCAGTTTGTGACCTATAATGATATTTTACAGCTGTTTTCATAAATTCTGGGACATCTAGCAAAAATAGTCTGAATAAATATTGCCAGTTCGATAAGTTTGTTATTCAGCATTGATAAACTTTTGATTTGGATGTGAATTACTGTAATTCATATCCAAATCAAAAGTTTATTACTACTGAATGAGAAACTTATCGAACTAGCAATAATTGTTTGGACCATTTTTTGTCAGATGTCCCAGAATTTATGAAAACAGCTGTAAACAGATGAGTAACTCAGAGCTTAACTTTTGAATAGGGTACAATACTTGTGATTGGCCTGTTTAATTTTTTTTTTGTTATCCCTTTGCGCTTAAACTCAAAGTTGAGTTTAAACGAAGAATCAACTTCAAATGGGCTAATGAATATCTTCATCCAACTAAAACAACTTAAAAAATTCCCGCTCTAATAAAAGTATTTGCGCAGCATAGACAATTGTAAAAAATTTCACTCTAATAAATGTTCTCATGCAACTAAGACAATTTTTAAAAAATTCCTGCTCTAATAAATGTCTTTGTGAAACAAAGATAATTTTAAATAAATTTCTACTTTAATGGATATCTTCATGCAACAAGTGCAATTTTAAAAAAATTTCTGCTCTAATAAATATCTTCTGCATAGGCCTACTGAATAATTGATTGTAGGAGCAATTAAATTATTGCAAGTTTTACCTACAGTATATAATACCTACAATAAATGGTAGATTGCAAATACTATAAAAGTTATTAACTTCAAATGACAAATAACTGTTGGAAATGCAAAATTTATCTAATAGTAAATGCCGAATAAGTATAATTAAATTGGTAAGTTATAAACTATGTTGTTGTAAGTACTATACCTTGAGTAAAATCATAAGTAGGGAGACTTAAAACAAACAAAGCAAGTAGAAAGACCAGGTAAATAATGATTGTATAATAAAACGTCTAGGCAATTATCTAATAAGAAAAAGGTATTAGTATTAAATTAATAAAACAGCTTTATTTTCTTGAGAAAAAGTTTTGAAAAAAAAACAATTACTTGAAGGAGTGATATGTTATTTGATGCTTTTTGTTTGTAGAAACCCTGATAACATTTTTTAAAAAAATATAAGGAACATTAACATTTTAAGGAACACTACATTTAAGAAACTAATATATTAAGGAACATTACATTTAAGGAACATTATATTTAAGGAATATTAATACTTTAAAGAATATTACATTTTAAGAAATATTTTTAAGAAGCATTATAAAATTAATCTTTCAGTTTTAAACTTTAAAAGCAGTATAAAGTAGTTGCACAAGAAACTTTAGTTATAAATCCCAAATCTTTTTTTTTAAATACAGGCAATAATTACTTGTGCTTTTACTAATAAGTATACATCTACATTTTTAGGTCACTTTCTAATCCAGTATGCCACAGGAACTTAGTGAAGATTTAAGATGAAGAGTTGTTTATTTGAATTTAAAAGGTTATAGTAATAAAAATATTACTACATTTCTTTTTATAAGTGATGCTTCTGTACGTCGAATTTTAAGTACTTTTCAACAGTGGGGATATGTTAAAAATCCATTTAAAGGACAACCTGAGTGCAGAAAAACCTTTACTCGTGAAGAATTAGATCTATTAAAACGAATTGTTAAGGAAAAGGTAGATTTATATCTTGATGAGCTTGCATTTGAAATAGAAAACTATACACAAAAGCATGTTTCTATATCTACTATATGGCAATCATTGCAATACTATAGTATCTCACATAAAAAGGTAACTAAAGTTAATAAAAATATATTGTTATTAGAAATAAAAATCATTAAATTAGGATTTTTAATTAGAATCGAAGTAAATCATAATATATAGGATCTTTGCTATATAGGAAAATCACTCTTCAGAATTTTCTGAACAGACCAATTTGGAAAGATTTAGACCAGAACACCAGTTCTTATTTATATTTAAGTTATCTTTACCTTTATCGATACAATAGTTTATTTAATAAACTATTGTATCAGCAAGGTAAAAGATGATTTGCATATAAATAAAAACTGGTATTCTGGTTTAAGTCTTTCTGAATTGGTCTGTTTGGAAAATCCTGAAGAGTGATTTTTCTACATAGCAAAGATCCCATATAGTAAAATTTACAAAGGATATGCCTTGTGCAAGATAAAACTAATATATATTTTGCAAATACATAACTTCATGCAAAATGTTAAGTGACTTCATTTAAGGCCAGATTTTGAATCTTTTTATATTTTATAAATCACTAATAGCTAGAATTTTCTTAGTTAAAATTTACTTTGTGCAAGATACTCTAAGTATTATATGATCATCTTTTGTGAGATACATTTTTAGTATACAAATTGTTATTATAATTTAAGATTTTTAAATTTTTAAATAATACAATCCGATTAACTTTATAATATTAACTTTTTTTTTTAATTAGCTACATAAAATGGCTTCTGAAAGAAATGAGTTCTTACAGAGTACTTACTTGGCTAACTTTAGAGCTAATTATCGTTTAGACCAATTGATCTTTATTGATGAATTTGGAAAGGATGAATGCAGTTTGAACAGACATTACAGATATACATCTGTTAATACTCGGGCATGAAAAAAGATTACTTTCATTCATGGCAAAAGATATACAATTTTATCTGCTCTTTCACTAGATGGTTTTTTAACTGTCAATATTATGAAAGGTAGCTGTGATAAAGAGCAGTTTTGTGAATTTATATTATCTCAAGTAGTAAGTTAATCAAATTTTATTACTATTTATAATAAATAATAATATATAGTTATTGGATGTGAAGCAATAAAATAGTTTATTTTATTGGCTGTGTATGTTGCATCTAATAATAGTTTTTATCTGGTAGCTTAAAACAACCATACCAACAGAATAATTTGAGTTATTTTGATAATAATTGCGTCATCATCAAATAACTTCGTTATTTGATAATGATACCATCACTACTAAAATAACTCAAATTATTCTGTTGGTATGATTATAGTAAGCTACTGGATAATAATAATTATTATTAAATTATATATATAATAATAGATTCCTACGATGAATCCTTTTCTAGAAAAGAATAGTGTTATTGTTCTTGATAATGCAAAGATTCATCAAAATGAAACAGTTGTTAATATAATAGAAGAACTTAGGTGTCACATAATTTTCTTGCCACCTTATTCACCTGACTATAATCCTATAGAAACAGCCTTTAGTACTATTAAAGCCTGAGTTCAGAAGAATAGAGATTTTATAAATACTACGAATGATCCATTTTATGTACTCATGGTCATATATGCACAGATTATATCTGAAATAGCAGTGAATTTTTTTCGTGGATCAGGTTATTTAGAATAAATTTTCATTAGTTATTATTCATAATTTATATTATTATAAATTTTTTTTACAAAATTTAGAACCTATTAGAATCTTTTTATTATCAGAATTTAGATATTATTAAATTAATGCAGATAGGTAAATGTACTGTTAGACCTCAAAATCGTAACTATACTTTTCAAAGATTCAGTTATGTGGTTCAACATTTATTAACAGGTTGACCTCCATTCGACCTCTATTCAATTTGTACAACCTATATACATATGATTTACTATTATAGTGCAGTGCTCTATGTAATTTACACTATGTAAGATTTTATCATTATAGTAATTTATTAATATCTTTAAAATATTCTAACTTCTGCTCTAGTAAAGCAAATTCAATTCTGTAACTTGCAAATGATATTAGAATTGTGTAGTTTTAAAACTATGTTAAGATATTTTTAAATTTATTTGATTAATATAATTAAAAGGTCAAATATTTTTTTTAGTTGTGAATTTTAATAGTAAAATGGTTACAATTTACAAGTTTATACTATAGAAGCCTGAAATATTTA